ACGACTAGGTTTGCTTTTTCTGCCTCACGAGTCCTCATCTTCTTTTTGTGGCCGTAGACAGGCGTTTTCTGATCACGGACTTCCGCAAGAATCTGTTTAAAAAATTAACAAAAACGATTTTCTGCAAAGATGCGGTGTGAAGTTACTTTGTTCCAGTGTTGTAGTGGGAATGGAAAAAAGTCGGAGACTGGGAGAGTCGGGGACCTTTCGTGGACGGGGACGTCCCCGAAAATGGCTGTGGCTCGAGGACAGGACTCGGCACCGGGGAGTTTCGGGAAGAAAACTCACTCTCATCCCCGTCCCTGCAATAAAACAGTACCGATGTTAACAATAAAACTGCATCGGATAGTCACTAGTGTCATGTGCAAATTTGTTCCGTCAATTTTCTTAAAGCTGAATGTTTTGCTTTAGTCTATGATAAATACAATGTCGATTACTGAGCTATCATGATGGAAGAAGGGTCATACGTTGATTTTTCACTCATTCATGAGATAGCCTACTTCGGTTAGTTACTCACCAATCGTTTCCGAGGTTGTTTGCCACAACTTCAGATGATAGAGTTCTCTCGAGAAAAGAAAGTTTTTTGGAAGGTAAGCTGAGAGCTGCTTGCATTAGGTCATCACAAGTGACACACTTATAAGATGGACATTGCTGGTACGCATAGATATACAACATTTCACTATTCAATAACTTGTGAACGTAATGAAACTGTTAATTAATGCTTAGAAAGTCCTCGTCGCGACTCATAACAACACGTTAACGAGAGCACCAATGACCATCTCGGTATCTCTCAAAAATTTAATTTTTTTNGGATGACGATTGCGAAAGATGCCGATGATGGCTAGCACAACAGCTACGGCTGACTACACTAAAAACACACTGATACCGACGCTGACACACTGACTAACTATACTGAGCTAACTATATAGTCATTGAGATTAGCTAATTACGAAACTATGATCACATGTTACAAATGGTGGTTAGAGAGTACATGATATGTGAGCACCATAGATAGGCATACAAGAAACCGTAAACAGTAAACAAGAGATCATACATTTACCTCATCCTTCAGGGGACTCCCCGCACAACACTACTTTGTTCACATGATTTTCCTAGTGTACTAGTGAGCAGTCATGGAGGTGGCGGTATCTTGGCGTTTGCACTTCGAAATAGTTGAATGAAGTGTTCGAGTTGGTTGATGGTTTCAATATCGAATTCATTTCATCTCTTTGCGATTATTAGTTGTGATCAGTGAGGTTATGTATTTGCCCATTGTCCAGCATAAATTAAGATTAATTCATTTCAGGTAGGAAGTGCTCAACCGACTGTTGCGGATGATGAGAAAATAGTGGTAAGTTGCGATGCAGTATACAGCAGAGGATATTATTCAAACAGTACTGATGATGATTTTTCAATTGCTTTCGTTAGAGTTGTTTACAAGGTAAATTCGATGTTTTCATTTCAGTGAGTTATGTCAGAATTTCTTGGTACTTTACGGCAAGACTAGTTCTGAAATGAAATTCTTCAACTTCGATAATCGACAATTCGATCATTCGTCCACATTCCGATCAATCATCGTTTATTGCTCGTTGATATCCACAGAAACAACCTCAATGACTGATCGAGGTGATAAAGCAAGGTTTTACTCTGCTGAAAGAATAAAATGCCGGACAAATGATCGGCGCATCAAATATTCTGATAGACCGCTAAATGAAGCAATTAATTGCCATCCATATTGTTCAGGATTATCATCTGCAAGAGTTAATGTTCAACCTAATGTATTCCCCAATCAATACGTATTGTTACTCCATTGATAAGAAAGCGACCAAAATATTTCACGAACAAATGCAAAATTTATCAAAATGTTTCTCAAATGTTTATATATCAATGGATGAATATAATGTGGACAGTGCTGGGCGTAATATAGACAGGAGTTATTTGGACTGCTTGAAAATAGTACGCAAACTACCTGATTGGAAATACGCAATTGTCCTGCAGGTAATTTTTAGAATTTTCAGTTTCAAAATCATCATCGACAGTGACGATGTCTCTATTCCAAACTAATTGTTCTGTTCCGCTTCCTTCATCTAAAATGGAACCGTTGAAAGACTGGAGAAAATAGAACAGAAAATCGTCAAAATTTTTAGTCATGTATAGAGAACGGAACAGAATGGCTTGACTATTGGCACGTAAAAGAAGAGCATCGGAATGTGGAATGGAGATATCAGTAATCCAAATAATCCAGATATCACTAGCTGAGATATCACTGTCTATATGCGAAGCATTCCGCTGACTTATTCAGTTCTTATTACTTTGTCAGCAGGATTTGAGTGAGTGAAAATTCTCAGTTCATGTTTAAAAAATTCAAATTTAGCTAGAAAAAGTATGACCAACATATCTTTCTAACAAAGAACATGACTGAATAAATTGTTTTGTTGATCACAATAGGGGGAAGGAGGGATGGAGGAAGAGCAACCGACTTTGTTTCTGTTGGAACTTTTACACGACCGGTGTGGACAAACCGGAGGAGGAGGCCGGAGATTATCCGCCTCTCCAGGTTGTTAACGATTACAAACATGCGAGGATAGGGAAGGTTGTGCCGCTTATTTCGCCAGAAGCGCACGTAAAACAGCCATGCGACAGTGTATGGAGGAATTGCGCTAGAAGCGCAAATAAGACGGCGGTTTGGCAAAGACAAGGTGATGGGATAGGTAAGCATTGTTTACGAAGATAATTTATTGGGAGCGGATGGTATGAAGAGAGGTCGATTGCATGCAGTAAACAGTTTTGTTATCAAATACTATTCAATGCAATTGAGATAAGTAAAACAGCAGTCGTTTCAATGAATACTGTTTATTACATTTTTAATTCGCTAACATGCGACACTGCCGGCGACGGGAATGATGCATTTTTGAAACGGATAAATTATTCATTATGGAGGATAGTGTAAACGAAACGATTGCATTCGAGAAAATGTGGTATGAATGCAGTTAACATGAATAACAAATAAAACACCGAAGATTATAAAATAACGCCAGCTAGCTTGATTTAAAGAGATAATACAAGTTACTGGAATTCCGATGCTATTTGCGCTGCGGCTGCTGTTTGAGCGAGTTTAGGATTGCCGGTGGTTTGTATGTGTAGTGCGATAGCAATCGAAGATTCTGTTGGTTTCCTGCAAAGATGGCGAGTCCGGCATCTGTCATCGGCTGTTGTTGCATATTTGGGTGCATGTTGTATATTCGGGTGAATTTATCGCTTGAGGTAGTGACAGTCCACTTTTGCTGCGGCGAATGCATGGATGAGTCTGTTTCCTTGATGCCTGTAATTTGCTGATGCCTGTGGGAACAGTGTCTGAGGATTTTCAGTTTGTAATCTGTTCGGTTGAACTTGTGTGGGTTGAGGTCGTTGAAACTTGCCCTGACACCTTACTATTAGGTAATTGTCTATTGCATTGAATAGTAACAATACTGCAAATCAGTGTTTGTCGCGGAGCAGTTTTTCGCGGGGGTGTAGGGAGAAAAATGGACGGAAGAGGGGTCCTCGCAAAAAAGTCGGGGAGCGAATTGCGCGGGGGGGGTGGGGACCCCGTCGGGGAGTGATCGCTCCCCGTGTTCCCCGACGGGGGGAACGGGGAGCATTTCAGCTCAATTTTTAAGAGACCTTCAGTTTTTTAAAGATTTTTCTTTTTTGTTTTGAGCAGTTTTCTTTCAAGTACACCTCATACTCACATTTCAAAACAAACAACAAAACAATATTGGAAGTGTTGCAGCGGTGTTTCACCATTTTCAGTTGATTGTTCGCGACATTCGCGAAGGTTTGCACTCCCCGTCATCTCTGTCGGGAAGCGAAACTGGACGGGGGGTCTCCGAGACAAGGTCGGGGAGCGGATCGTCCGGAGGGGGGGGGTCCCAGCAAAAAAGTCGGGGAGCAAATTGCGCGGGAAGGGGGAGGCTCCTCGCGTTCCTCGTCGGGGTCCCCGTCGGGGACATCGTTCCTCTACGAACACTACTGCAGATATAGTCCAGCATGGACAGTGGGTGATAGGGATTGAAGCTTTCGATATTTGTTCTAGCGTTAGAACTTTGATGAGTGAAGGTATAGTCGATTTTTTTGGCAATTTCGCGTCTACAGATGGTGTATTTCCTTTCGGTGTTTCTGGATGTTTGCTACCGTTATAATTGTTGGGTCACTGTTTGTCACAGAGAATGGGACGCTAGAGACCAAAATAGTGTTTTCTTGGTTCAAATATTTGTCTTGATATTTGGCGGGGATTTTTCCAGCACCACCAACGATTCTACCACTTGTAGAGTCGTACCGAGTGAAGCCACAGTGAAGCTGCTTGATTTCGTGTAAGTTGATGACCGATACAAAGTTGGATCCAATGAGTATGTCCGGTTCATCTTCGTATAAAAGCTGAATGAATTCGCTTGACATATCGTTCTAAAGTTTGGTAAATCTGTTGGTGTAATTGATGCTTGAAGAAACTTGACTGTATCTTTTGGTAGAGTTGAGGCTTCGGCGATGTGGTTTGATCCATCTGATAATCGAATACCAAAGAATATTCTCGCACTTTTGTGTTGATTGCCATCGACATCGCCAGCTCCATGGATGATGAAAGGTTTTTTGTTGTTCAATGGGAAGCCGAGTGACTTCGCGAATCGTTCCGTAACGAATGTTGACTGGCTACTTTGGTCCAGGAATACTTTTGTAGTTTTAAGACTCTGAGGCAGGATTGGATTATAAGTTGTCGCTCTACCCCATAATAGCACTGCGGTGGATGAGTGAGTGGCGATATGTTGAGAAATGGCTACGGCGGCAATGTTAAGGACGTTGTATTTGTTATGGGTTCAGCTAGAGCTAGAAGAGTATGAGATATTGCCGGCCGTTGTGTTGTTTGTCTAGAGCATAAGACAGCGTTGTGAGGACCGCAGCAGTAGTAGCAGTTTCTTGAGCGAGAACAATTCGACGTCATATATCCAGGTTTGAGACATTTGAATCGGAGGTTCAGTTGTTGGGCTCGATTTTTGCGTTGTTGAATATTTGAGTATTGCAAGGGCGTTGCAGAAAACACATGGTACAGTTGGAGTTTGTCTTGAGTTGCGAGTACGATTCGTTGACGGTTGATGTCGATTTGAGTTTACTGGTGGTTGTTGTTGATTGGTATTAGAGAATCACTGCTGACGGAATCTTATAGATGGTACGGTTTGTGTTGGTGATGATGACGCAAATGAACGCAATGATAATTGCGGTATTTGGCTTCCAGCATTTGAGCGGTCTCTAATAAGATTGGAAAAAAAATCAGAAGTCGAGTAATTGCCACGTTTTTATTTGGGTGAACACATGAGAAGTGTGTTAATTCAGGCAAATGTTCTTCTAGCTCAAACAATATTTGGCGTTGTTCAATGTCGATGTTGACAATACACAAATGATTGAGAATGCGAGAAACATCGCTATGAGGTTGTTGGAGGTCGGTCGAAGTATCAGAAGGTTTACGCAGTTATGCAGCTATACTTGAAGAATTGAAGTGCATCGAGATTGCCGAACTGTTTATGGAGAGCATTGATTAAGGACGATAGCTCTCGGCTTGACGTCGATAGCCTGCTGCTGCGAGTAAGGAAAACAACACTCGTATCAATGAATACTATTTAATACACTCTCAGTTCCCTAGCATGCGACAGTATCAGTTGACCCATTAAAGCTGAAACTATTCTTGGATTGGGGCTCTTGCAATTTCCTCGTTGTCCGGTGTTCTGGATGGTTTGTCTAGGGTTGGTCTCCATCTAAACAGTGTTATAAGTGTCTTATTTTTCGGCTCGGCCTCAACGGATTGTCGACGTTTCATAGCAGTTCAATTTTGCCTGTACCAGTTTTGCTGTTGCCAATCACTTACTCCTACGATTTTCGGTCGGACTCTTTGTGCATTTTCAAATCGACGGTCACTAGGTGATTGTGATACAGCTTAATTTGTTCGTTTAGAATCATGATATTCCGTTGAAAACGAATCGTGAAATGATTATGATATTGAAAGCGTTAAATGGCAGCAATAATATCGAGCTCGTGCCACCATTTCAATCACGGATTCCGAAATTCGATGACTGGAGCTTTCGAGCGCTTAGTCTTTTTCGAGGTGAGCTTTAACATTCAATGCGATTAAAAATTCATTGACTACGCTTTTATGAAAAACACAGGTCTAGTTCCAAACAACTTGCTTGTTTTTTTCACATTTTTCTCGCATGAATTTGGTAATTTGAAATTCGTTAATGATGATGATTCATTCTGATTATCAAATAGTGACAAAGTAATTGTCTTGAGGACCAGGTGGGTATACTGAGCAATCGAGGAGCATTTATGAAGCGAGTAACTTGAACGCGTCATTTAACGAAATATTTGTGTAGAATGGAGCAGAGCAAACATAAGTCAATACTGAAACTTTTCAACTAATGGTATGCGTGCGATCAGACTCAAACCGCCGCCAGCATTTGTTGTGCTTGTAAATCGTTGACTGATCCGGTGGGAATTTCCAGAGAAACGATTATAGATGCTAGTTTCAACTATGTTCCGCGACTGCAAGGTCATTTGGAAGTGAACCAGGTCGTGAGCTTCTCCAAAATTCTCGAAGCTCGTCAAGAGCAATACGCAAGCATTCACGCCATGCAAATGATCTTTCAGAATCGAAGGAAAATGACAACAGAACGCTGAATATCGGGAAAGGAAGTACAGGTGCTGCATTGTCACGATCTTTCGTTGAATTCGTCGTAGATAAGCTCAACTTAACGACTCTTTTGCAACGCTTCGATACGGTTGGACTTGGATGTGATGAAATGTTGCTACCATCTCTTAATTCTGAAGATGCACTCGGTTGGTCATATCTCGCTAAAAGTTTACTAGATCTCAGTCGATGAACTCTATCGTTCACTTTAGTTCAATTCAGAATCCTCATCAAAATGAATGCTCTCATTATGATGTGAGCAATTTTTGTTGACCTCATTCGTTTCCTACCATCAAATCAGAAATTCTTGTGTGTTATGAAGTTTCACGATAATTTGTTGTGCATGAAAATCAGATTGTTTGCATATGGAGTTTGATATACTGTTTTGATTCAGTCATAGTCAACGCTTGCTCGATGAAAAAGAATGAAAGCATTTACAGATGCTCCAGGCGGTTACACGAGGAAATGTTTGCATGCCAATGTTTCCTTCATTACGAGGTTCGTTTCAATGGATGAACATCGGTAGATTGACATCCTATTGTGAAGGGGTCCCCATTGAGGGGAGGAAGATCACCCCTTTTTGGATAATTTCTAGGTGTCAGGAGGGAGGATGGAGAAGATCAGGAAATGAGTTTTGACGTTGTGCGTGGGAACAGTAAATTATTATACCGCGAGGGGGAAAGGGGTAATGACGGCTTGTCAGACCATCGAAGAAGGCAATGCAATACTCCGACGTGGGTACCATTGCTATAGTGGATGAGTAACAATCTGTATTCGAACTCCGGTTCTCTTATGCATCCAGTATATGTGCTGAGCAACGACAAAAAACTGTGAATGAATTGAACAACAGCAGCCTTAATTCCGACAGTTTGGTTCCTTGGTTACGTCTCCAAACTCATCTTGCCTCCATGTCGGCTCCAACATCACACTTCTTCAAAGCTGACTTGTGCTCTAAGACAACATCTGGTCCGTTTTTACCTTAGGGTGTTCAAAATCAGAAAAATTTAATCCCTAAAGAGTAGTTCTGGTTAATGGATTTCAATACGAAGTTTCCTTGGCAGGGCTAGCCAGAAAGAATATACATCGTAATAGTGGACCAAATATTTCTGGATATCACACTGCAAGAGCATTTTATCGCAATCCATCTTAAGACCACTCTTGACATTCAGTCATTGCCTTTCATTTGCGTAACTAACTTTTTAAAATTCATAAACTGTTGATATTTCTTGCTTAGTCTGTTGTCCTCAACAAAGTGATCTGAATCATGCAAAGTATTTCAGATATGTTGTGTGGGTATGGAGTCGCCTACCATGCTATAGCAGACGTTTTCGTCATTATGTTTGCATATTCGGTATTGGAGATTTGAAACATTTACGCGAATCACGGTACTTATTCGGTAATAAGATGATGCCTGAAATCGATTATGGCGTTATTTCCTGTTGGGCAAAAGAGTTGCACCATAGAATAATTCAGCAGCAAAATCACACTGTTGATCTGAATTATTATTCAAATTTGAGAACCGTTATATTCAATAACTTTAAGCAAAGATGGCGATCCGATATGAAGGCATTCAACTGCACCGGATGAATATTGTTACAAATCCGAACTTCTGATGGTGCCTTTCCTAGGGTCTGTCGTTGTTGTTTCAACACTGTGTAGCAAACAACAACTCAGTAGCACTTCAATCATGTATGACTCTTTTTCGATGCATTTGCAGCGTTCATTTTCAACTTTTATACCTATATGCTCGATGCACAGTCGATCACATATGGACTTTTTGCACTATCGAACTGAAACTTTTCTGCATTATCGTAGAAAGATACCATCAGAAGTTTCTCCTTTATTTACGGATGCATTTATACACTATCGCTTCACCAAATTAGTCCTTAACAAATGCACGATGCAGTTCCCATGATCTGAAGCCAAGCAAAACTTCGTTTGCATATGTTGTTCCCATTTTTACCCAGCGATTTTCAACATAGGTTCTCCCGAAGTGGAAGAATCTTTTTCACTGGCATTCAGTCACTTATTCGGTAATTTAGCGAACACATGTTTTTGTAACTTAGGGTTTTCAAAATACCGACCATTTTATCATTTCTAGTATTGTTTTTGAATTCTGGTACGATCCCATTATTGAAAAGGAGCTTTTGAAATATACTTGACTTGTTTAACATATTACCTTTGAGTCAATTTGTTCATAATTAGTCAGAAAACAGTTTATTTGACATATCACTCATGAAAACTCAGCAAATTCAGCAGTTCAACAAAACAAAGCACCAACAGTACAGGACAGCTACAGTTCATACGGAGATAAAATCTGCGATTAGATAAGTGCTCTGCAATGAGATAAAATTTACGTATCAAAAAACTCATCATTGGGTTATTTTTGCGTTCTGTTCTGAAAATAGTTCCACCTTGCTTTCTTTCACTCAACACCCTATGAGCGTTGTTGAAGATATCCGACAGAAGAAAGAATCCTTTGAGCAAAATCCAGTGAGATTTAAGATAAATTGTTAATTCCTTTCTAATTATTAATTCTGGTAAGGGCATTGGTCTGAAGATTAATTGCGCATTCGTATGTGAACACATATGATATATATATATATATATATATATATATATATA